CTTCTTCTACCTGGTCAAAAACATATCAATAAGTACAGAATGCACACAACCGACTAGCTATGACAAACTGGCATTACCTGAGACTGACACCATGACTTACCTTATTTGTAAATAGAGACACCACAATGGTCAATATCAGCGAGAGGCCAAAGCTAGTGGTAGAACCGGCCAGGACAGAGTAATCCTTCGATGTGTTGGTCAGAAAGTCCCCAAGCCCTCCTTCGAAAGTCCAGGCAGTAATCAGATTGGCTATGATGCCGCAAATAAGCCCGCTTATGCTCCCTGTGGAGCAAAGGTTGGCAACATTTGATGAGGTTTCATGAAATCAGGTGATGCCAGTTAGAACTGCATAGCTAACGTCACTTCAAAACAATCAATAGAACCGGTCGCTGACTGACTTTCTACCCCACTAGGACATCACACAAGCGATAAACACCCGATGACACAAAGTGCCACCATGTGGATGAGGATCGCCGTAGAGAGGTCCCAGAAACCGTGTTCAGACAATTGGCCATATTTATGGCCTGACTATATTGCGGTCCCTGGCAAAAGCCAGGGTGGGGCTTCAAATAACAAAAAATGTCATCCCTAAAAGTACAAAACTGGATAATATTACCGGTCGCTTCGCCACATCACAAACACAAAGTCAACGTTACGGCTAAAATGACTTCATTTGCACATTACATAAAACCCACCCACACACACACACACACACACACACACACACACACACACACACACACAATCACTTAACTGATGTATCACCGACAGAAATCACATTGCTGTCATGTCATTAGAATACATGACATGCGTTTTGACTGGGAATACAAACATGTCAGAATAAAAAAGGCGCTAGCGACAAGGAACATGTATCAACTATATTGGAAGTTAGGTCCCCTCGGTGAATTGGCTCCCATGAGAGAAATAATGCGGTACTAGAGATACGTATGGACTCTGCAATTCGAGTGGCTATATTTGTAAGCCGTATTATGCGTGATGAGTACAAACTGGTAATTTTGATAACTGAAATATAACGGCACTGATTTGAGGGAACCGTTTTGCGCTACATAAAGCTGATTTAGCCCCGTTTCACCGTTTCTTTTGCAGACGATGATGCAAATAACATTGTAGCTCGTGCAACAGAATGTCTCACGTGTGTGGAATCTGACAGTCCACTCTAGATTGTCCGCCTTAACCACATTGGGACAAGTCTTTCATTCAGGTCTATGACAAGGGACCGTGCCTAAGTGAGGCTGAGAAGTAGGACGTAACTGACTCTTGATTACAACATCCTTGAGATTTCGTGTAGTACGTACAATTCCAGTATAACTTGGAAAAGCTAAAAATAACTGGGGCTGGATTCAGATCTTCTGTAAAAGACTTGCAACTTTTAATCATTGTTACTCAATAAGACGAGCTCGTTCAAGGCAAACACTTGATTACCACGAAGAAAATTCTTACCTCAGCAGTGATGTACTTGAATTATTGCATGCATTAATTCCCTGTTTGCATAATTAGTTTTAACACCAACTCGATTTTCCGGCTTCTTGGAATTCTTGTTTGTATTAGTCTTAGTCTTACTCACATCCGGCTTTAACTTTAACTTTATAGCTAAAGATGGCCGTGGTCTTAGTCAAGGTTTCATCATTCAGGCAATCGGGTTTCCCCGTAGGAATTCTTGTTATTCTTGTTAATGAAGCTTTACTGTGATTGCACATTCCGAAATTTGTGACAAAAAGATGTGTTTATTACTGGAAAGTATGTTAAATGTGTTAGCTTAGTGTAGGTGTTGAGTTGAAGATGAATCGGCGACAGGCCTGGCAAGTCAGCCGACGATTCAGGGGTTCAAAAAGAAATGCTTAAGTTGAAAATAGGAGAAGTTTTAGAAACATGGAAACTAGAGGCCAGTAAATACCAGAGTGGGTCTGAAACGTTACAACGTGTATACAGCGAGTGGAAGATCTCGGAAATTATGGAGTGATAGCATTAAGAACAGCCTTATAGAAATGAACAACAGTCTCAATAGTGGTCTCGACAGAGCTCATCAACTAATGTTACATCTCCCCCCGACACTTTGCTGAGGTACAAGGTGGAAGAGAAGGAGGAGGAGAAGAAGAAAAAGAAGAAGAAGAAAAAATGGAAAAAGATAAAGAAACAGAAGAAGAAGAAGAAGAAGAAGAAGAAGAAGAAGAAGAAGAAGAAGAAGAAGAAGAAGAAGAAGAGAAGAAGAAGAAGAAGAAGAAGAAGAAGAAGAAGAAGAAGAAGAAGAAGAAGAAGAAGAAGAAGAAGAAGAAGAAGAAGAAGAAGAAGACGAAGAAGAAACACGTTCTTTACATTGCTTACATGGTCGTTCCCTTTACTGTAGGATTTTATGAATAACATTAGAATCATGTTTCTTAAAGCAAGTAGTCACACCTGCCATCGCAAAGAGCCGTGATTCAGACGACTCTCTTTAGCACAATATAACACTATTGTCTAGGAAATATTCAACAGTGCCAACAGACCAAACAGTGGTGTCTAATTATCATCATCATTCTGTAGCAGGTTCTCTGCAGAACATCGCTCCCATCACAGTCTGCATGAAAGAACCTCGGAACCTCACCAACCTCCAGCCTCATGAACTTTCCTGACCAAGGTACCTCTCATGCCCTGTAGCAGTTTTCGTGCTGGTCTACCCCTGCCCCGTTAAGTTTAAAGGGGAAAAGAGGCAGAGAGAGACCACCTGATAAAATGCTGGACAGTTTAGCATCATATCATGGACGATCATTTGTATCAGAACTGAAAGTACACGAGACAGGAGGTTATGGATAGACATGACAACCAATGACATGACAATAAAATAAAAAGTATGAACGACCTATGGTTACAGAGAAACTAAAACAAATTGGCCCTGATCAGCTACCGGTGGTCTCAAGCTAGACAGCCCGCGGTCAATAAGACGTTGGTCCACCACAGCAAGAGTGTGCTTTCAAGGGTGCATGAAGCGAGGAGAATTGTTGCGTGAAGGGCGATAGTCAGGAAGGGAATGTGAATACAGACACGCAAAAAATGTTTACACAAAGGCTGAGAACAGAGCATCTGAGAAGACGCCCAGTAAAAACATGAAATCAACAATGTTCCTGAATCTCCATGCACTTACTGTGGTAGACTAACCTCTTTCAATCCCATATGGTCTTAGCTAATGTCCGAGGTAGAGACGAATGGCGGTACTATACTCATGGGTATACTATTTCCAAAGGGACCAAATATACAACCCCTGCAGGAAACGAATGTTTTCGGTGTTCTTCAGAGTCCCCCTCACTAAACATAAGAAAAAACAAGCGGCACACGTGAATCAAACACATTGCGTTATCTGGAACAGAAAGAGTAAACACGAGAAGATCTTGGTAGTCAAACTGCCATCGCCGTGGGCAGTATTGCCCATGCTAAATACTGAAAGGTGGCAACAACAAAACAAATTGACAGTCAGACATACCAATAATGACACCAGAGGCAGACGTTTTGCTCCAGATGATTGTCATCAAGGCTGGCGGGAAGCTGGGAGTGGTCAGAATGAACCCACACACCATAACGTAGTTGAGGTCAACACCCGATGCAAGGGTCACCATCCCGACAGGTAGCAAACTAAGGGTCACCCACAAGATGCACCAGGACTTGAAGTTGACCAGCGAGTCCAGGTAAGATCTGTAGTCTCCATGGTACGGACACCTGTAGGGATTTGGACAAAGAGGGAGCTTCCGGTCAATACTGAGAATAGACATATTTACTGCTTTTTGTGTGTGTCGCTGCAAGGTTTTTGCTGCTGACAATAGCGAAAGGGATATAGTTCCGTCGTCAAGCTACTGAGTTGAGTACATGGCTATCGATTGTATATGACATGCTTTGTGACTGTGCTCAAGGTGGTTTGTGTGTGAAATGTAGATTTAAAAAAATGGCGAGTGGTCTGTTGACACAGAACTGGTATGGCCTTATGTGATTAATTGCGTGTGCAAGTACTGATCTGTTGTGACACCAATGCTATAAAGCTACAACTGCGTTTATCTCAGTATCTGACTACCTTGACAAAGAAGACACAGCTTTTTGCACATTTTATTGCTTTGTACATTTCGTTGTGTTTTCAGTGACATACATAAAAATAAGAAAAGACATAAATATCGAAACACCCCCCCCCCCCCCCCCCCCCCCCCCCCCCCCCCAAAAAAAAATGATTACGACAAATTCTAAATGTAACTGAGAGAGACAGGATCGAAAGAGCAATATTGAGAAAGATGTTGGGATATCTATGATAAACCTCATTACATATTCACTGTATAATGAAAACGACTTAAGTGATAGTACACATCCTTGTCGTACTAGACTATTTATGCTATGAAATGTTCCCAAATCTTAGTTAATTCTTATAGCTGCTGTTTGCTGCCAATATAAGTTGTTTATGTTTCCTCGATTTTTTCCAGTACACTTATTATATCCTCACATTTTCACACAATAAGAAGCCTATTATGTGTGTATGTATATATATTTACATATGTGTGTGTGTGTATCTTGGCGTCATCGTCTGCTTATGAGAATATATATATTTATATATATGTATATATATATGTGTTATATATATATATATATATATATATATATATATATATATATATATATATATATATATATATATATATATATATATCTCTTCTATATATATAAAAATCAATGTTTGTGTGTTTGTTTCACACCCTATAGACTCGGAAACTACTGAACCGATTTAGCTGAAATTTTCAGGATATGTTTGTTGTGATACCGGATTTTGAACCGTCGTGGTTTGAAATTCAACCTGTCACTGTTAGAGATAGGTGACCACAATTAATGCCAAAATATACGCAACTAATATTTATAACTTTAGTGATTTCTAATTATAGCCACGTTAGTAATTGCGCATGCGCCGTATTTACCATTCGCCGGCGAGTTACGTGCAGCCGACGCCTTCTCTAATACTAATACATAGAGTAGGTCGTGGTACAGCAGTCAAGACTATCTCTATATTTGCCACAATAACCATATTAAACACGATTCCTATTTTCTGGGGGGGGGGGGGGGGGGGCAATCGAGGACTATCTCGACGTCGGGGGAGACAGTGACTGCGACATTAACTTCATTAACCGTGTTAGACACGTGCGATTTCTATTTCATTAATATATCTGGAGTATCTGTCTACGAGAAAACAATTGCCTGCTGTTTTGAATTGTGTTTTAATCGCGACACAGTGGTAGGGACACATATGTCTAATAGTTGTGTTATCTTTTCGTTGTTCCGATAAAGTGGCTGCTTGGTCGAATGGTTAGAACACTGGGTTCAAGTGCGGTAGACCTGGGTTCGAATCCGCAGTAGTTTTTTTTTTTTTACCCTGGACTAAAATAATATCCTCATCTGCTCTGTCGTGGTGACAGCACTAGCCATGTTGCCTTAATATTAAAAAAAAAAAACCAGTAAATGGGTAAACCATTTGATAATTAAATTTGACCATTTCGCATACTTATGATTGCATTGTTAAACTTTCCGATTGCATGGTTACGCTGAAATTTTATAGATTTTCATTTATTTTCATTCAGATTTAGTTATTTCATCTGTGTTGGAATTTTAAGCTGTGCTGTTTACAATGGCGTTCATTTCCTAATTATGGTGTTTTTTTCCTGTGTTCATTTGCTTTTCAAGTGTTTTTTTTTTTTCCCTCCTAACTACTTCAATGTGGGAAAGAGTTGTCGGTGAATTTGGGGGAGGGGGGGGGCAAACTATTAACTGAGAGAGCTTTAAGTCACAGTAACTGCTTTACCCACTTAAAGTAGCAGCAGCAGTAATAGTTGTGGTTGGGCTGTTACACCATAGTGCTCTCATGTGAAGACCGCCGGTAAGGTTATGGCGTTCTTCTGTCGGCAAGTGAAATTATACATCCTAACCTGACCAGTCTGTGGCGACAGCACTAGCCATGCGGAACCAAATCTTCTGGCTCACGACTCTCTGTCTACTCCGATGGTAACACAGATAGCAGTGACATTATTTTAGTAGTTGTACTGGTACTTGAAGGATGATGTGGTAAATATTTCACTAGCCCTATTCACTACCTTTTACAATTCCTGCTCCTTATTTTAGTCCAGATGGACAGGGATGTCAATGCCAGTTACAGCAAAAACAAAATATCGCCAGTTAGTGATTTTCAAATCCTTCGAAGAGGGAGAGAGCAGTAGTCGGTGGAAGAGGGGAGGGGAGGGGGGTAATGACTTAAATTTAAGAGAACTTAAAGAGCTTTACACGTGATTTTCAAGTTCTCATTCCCTAATTTGTTTATATTTTACTAACGCTACCTCGGCTTTTCTATTTTTTACGACTTACTTTGTTATTTACAAGTACAGTTGTAGCTTTACTTCCGTCTCCTATAAAAATACAAACAGCTTTAGCATGTGATAACCAAATAACCACTTTTGTAACCAGTTTTATTAGCTGTGGTTTAGCTGTTGCTCTGTACATCGCTAGCGTGAAGCGAAGACACATTTCTATGTTCTTTATTTTCCATGTAGTCAAATTACGCCACAGCAACGCGTGGCCGGGTACAGCTAGTATATATATATATATATATATATATATATATATATATATGAGTCCTTAGAATTCCACGGACAGCTAAGAAGAACAACCCATGTTTTGAGAGAGACGAATGCTCAAAGACAACTTATTACAAACATCAGAAAGAGACAGTCATCATTTTTTGGTCATATTATGAGAAGAGGGAAACTGAAACATGTCCCCACTGGAAAAATCAGTGGAAAGAGAGACAAAGGGAAGACAGCGCAAGAAGATTCTTGACAGCCTTTGTGACATGGAAGGGTGTCAGCACACGAAATAATACACGCAGTTGTGGATTGCGGACTGTGGAGAGGCACGATCGCCTACGCCAGTCGGCAAGGTGCTTGCTGGTATATATATATATATATATATATATATATATATATATATATATATATATATATATATATATATATATATATGTATATATATATATATATATATATATATATATATATATATATATATATACATATATATATATATATATATATATATATATATATATATGGCGCATATATATATATATATATACACATATTTCAAAAGAAAGCAAAGAATAGTGACATCACACCCTGCCAAGCACGTCGTAAGAAGCGACGAAGGGTAGGGGTGGGCCTGAGGTTGGCTACCTCATCCTGTAAAACAAAAGCCACAAAAACCAACCAACCATGGATATGTCACAAAGAGAAGCGAGTGAAACCCAGCCAACCATGATTAGGGAAGGCTTTTCAAGCAGAAAAAGAATGACACAGTGTGGAGAAAGTCGAAAGAAGTCTGGACCGTCAATGTACCTCCTCTCACCTAGGAAAACCTCCAGAGTTGGCACCTCGAATGTTAGAACTCTGTACAGTATAGGAAGAACAATGGAAGTAGTAGGGGAAATGAAACATTATTGTTGCACTGAAATCCTTAGGGGCATAACAATTAGGGAGGTCAAAAAACACACAGAGAATGGGGCTTGAGAATGAAGTTAGAAAGACGGGGAAGACATGCAGAAAGCTGCATGCGATAGCAAAAGATAGAACGACTTGGCGTGAATTGGTTGAGGGCCTATGCTCCATAGGGGGCTAGAAAGGCAAAAGAAGAAGAAAAAGAAATCACACTGCAGTAGACAATTTAAACTGTATACTCTGAATATATTTTCTACTCACAGACTTCTTTCATAGCAATGTGCATCGACAAAAAAAAAGGCATGCACCAACTATCCACTGAGCAAATTCCCTAGCGTTGCTCAGGGGACTATCTCACCGTTTTTACAGGAATAACTAATTTGGCACTGAAATGCGAAACAAATTGGCTGAGCAAACGATGACGTCCAGGAGAAAGGAACTGTACTGAGAAAAGCCAAAGACACCGGACTGGATTCCATTTATGATATCTAAGAGATTGTAGGAGTTGTGGCCTTATGAGAGCACGTCTGGGACTGCCCATAGTGTATTATATCAGATACTGATTGGAGTAGAGCGGAGTGGACGACTAGACAGTGAGTACTCTGTGACATACAACTGCACAGAGTGACGATGTATAATGAGCGTCTTCTGTAACTGTACAAATCATCGGTTAGTTTAGTCTTTCCTCTTGAGCCTAGGGTGGCGCATAGGGCAGAGGTCACAGCTTTCAATGTCTGTCGTTTTGATGCCACCTGTTTTAGGTCCTGGATTTTTAATAGGCCCATGGTTGAGCCTTCCCTCAAGATAGTTCTATGCAGAGCCTCTATTGATCTTGCCCACGTTCTTCTCTGAACGAAGCACCATTACATTTAGAGCTAGAAATCTGATTCTAAAAAAAGGATGTTTTACGATGGCGGCTTGTCGGGTCGTCGATCAATATTCCTAAGACAAGCTAGAGGTAAACTCGTCTCACCATCTTGGTCCAAACCGGAAATCCATAGGTAGCTTCTATTTAATCTTTCCATTTAGCACTCTGAGAATTTAGTATCAAAGTCTAACCTACGTAAAATTAACTCTTGTGAAATGAGATGCCTAAAAAAAAAAGCCGTCATATCGTTGGAAACACAAAAGATATTCACACGTGATCTCCATTGCTGTCAGTATGCTGCTTTTCTGCCCATGGTATCTCATGTCAGTTTACATTCCTTCACTTATATTTCTACTGTCCTCTTTTACGTTTCCTTCGGTTAAAACATATGTATTATACCTGTGCTGTATCGACTGCAATAAGACAAAGAAGGTGGAGATATACCAAGCACATTCTGAGACAAATTGAGCATAAAATTACAAAACAAGCACTAACATAGGAAACAAACGGTCTGAGAGGGAAAAAAACAAAAAACAAAAAACAGGTCGTCCAAGGGAAACATTAAGAAGAACATTATTACCAGAGGCAACAATTCTGGGCTGAACTCCATGTAAGAAATGGAGAATATTGCATGCAATGAAGATAAGTGGAAGAATCGAATGCCAGCCATTTGGAACGTCTAGCGTCGCACAAGGGATGATGGTGGCGATGTGTTCAAAAGAGACACCTGTCTAACAGCTATCACTAAGCTGTGTGCAAGACAGAATTAGAAATAGTGTTGTAACTATAATTATAAGACAGACTGGGGAAATAAAACCAATGCACAAACACATTGAAACAAAATCAACAGATGGGGTCATCTGTAAGAATGCAGCCAGAACAATTACCAGTGCAAGCCCCACACTTGAAAAGATCTGATGTGAAATCAAGAGGTCGCCCTAGGAGGACATGGATTGATGACATTAAAGAGCTTCTACATCGACACGAACTGACAATAGTCAATAGGCCCATTAGGCCATGTATCGCAAACTTGTCTTCCTTATACTTCTTAACGGGAATTAACGATGATGACAGATTTCGTTATATAATTTAGACCTGTTTATCTATTATTAATATATATATATATATATATATATATATATATATATATATATATATATATATATATATATATATATAGGTTAGTTGTGTATCATTTACAGGACGTTGCAGAACCAACCCCAACAGCCCCTGGCTGTTGCGTGGTTTTTCTAGGCAATTTACGTCCATTAGTTAGCCATTGCTTACTGGACGGTCGGCTTTCTTGATACTATTGTCGAAACCAACGCAAGGCGCATGGCCCGCAGCTGGGATCGAACCTGGCATCCCGGCATTACGAAGCATTCGCATCGACTTAGCCACAGAGCCGACGTATATATATATATATATATATATATGTTATTCTATGTGTGTGAGTTCAAGTTTGTGTCCAGCTTAGTACCTTTCATTTTCCCCACCCACGTTCGTCTTTGCGTGGTTGTAACACCAGCGTTTGATCAATGCATTTATTTTTTTAATGTTTAGTAAGAGCGAGAGCGAGAGAGAGAGAGAGAGAGAGAGAGAGAGAGAGAGAGAGAGAGAGAGTGTGTGTGTGTGTGTGTGTGTGTGTGTGAGAAGAGACTGAGACTGAGAAAGAGGTGGGAGAGAGTGGTTGAGTGGACGAGATAGTGAGAGAGGGGAGACAGAGAGGAAAGAGAATGACATAATGTGAGAGAAGATAACAAGACTGACACAAAAAAGATAGAGACAGAAATGCACACAGAAATAACAGAACAAACTTTCAAGCAAACTAGACAACAATGTACCTACAAGTATATACGCTGTGTGTTCTTCTGTGTGTTGGAGTACACCCGCCTCAGATCCTCTGTACAGTGCGAGCACTCGGATACCAGCGGACACTGACAGCACTTGACAGATGCCCCATCACTCTTGTACTTTTCTGAGCTGTCCGATGCTACTTCTCTAGGTTTGACCTCTCCACACAAGACACAATGACCCACTCCGCGACGATGCCTGATCATGACAGGAATAGATATAAAACCGAACGAAAAGTATACCAGCAAGCTTCATAATTTAAAGAACACAAACAAAACGTGAACGTTGCGGCTATGAAGACTTCATCAGCTCATACATAAATAAAACAATACCACACAAACACACAAAATCACCTAGCTAAGTATCGCGAAGCAGCCAGATCGATGTCTAGCCAGCAGACTGTCGAGGCACTTGGGACAGGGGAGCTAAAAACCCCCACTGAGTTCCAGGGGCCGTAACTGGAGGCTTTTAGATAAAAACTGTATGGGCATTTCAATCCTCTGGGATTTTAGATGAAACTGATCATGACAAGAAACGCAGACAATTGTTATGTTGATTAACACAAGGAGCTCTTTTTTTGCTTAGCGGCCAGACGCTCGCCTGCCGGCTCAAATGTATTAGGTTCGAATCCATATTGAGCCAGATTTTTTTTTCTAAAAAAATTACCAAGCGTAGCCGAAACTTTAAAAAAAAAAAAAAAAAATAACAATCGCCATTTATCATTTATCCTTACGCCTTTTTAAGGACGTAATTTTTTGTTATTTGAAGCCCCACTTTGGCTTTTGCCAGGGGCCGCAATATAGGCAGTCCATAAATATGGCCAATTGTCTGAATCGGTTTCTGGGACCTCTCCACGGTGATCATTTCCCACATGGTGGCACTTTGTGTCATTGGGTGTTTATCGCTTGTGTGATTTCCTTGTGGGGTAGAAAGTCAGTCAGTCAGACAATCGCCTTTTATGTAATCCGAAGGAGTTTGTTATAAATTTGAATTTTCCCTGATGTGTCTAGTGACTTTAGTGAGCTTCCGGTCTATAGAGGAAAAATTACAGAAACAGGGAGCAGAATAATTACAACAACTGAACTGAGATTCCTGTGGAGGTCTCTTAATAAAACAAGAAGAGGTAAGATCAGAAGCGATCAATATATACTTCACCTCGACACCATAAGATATAAGAGGATCAAGGGGAGGGAAAGACAAAGAGAAAGAGAGAGAGAGAGAGAGAGAGAGAGAGAGAGAGAGAGAGAGAGAGAGAGATGAGAGAGATAATAAGAAGCAATGTACTCAAAAAGTAGGTAAAATATACTAGCAGCTAGTTAGTTAATTATGTAAGTTAATTATATTCTGACTATTCTAGTTTCTTACCGATAGCTTTTAATGTATCACAACTCCAATTTCCTGCTTCGATAACTCATTTTGCCAATATATCAATATCAACTTCACGAATTTCTCTCCTGGCACCGGTCAGCCAGTCCGAAGCTTTCCATTTCTCCGTCAGCTTATGTGCGTAATCCATATATCAGTGAGCAGACCAACCAATAAAAGATCAGAAATCATAATCTAAAAACTTTGATGTTTTTACCGCTGTCCGAATTATTTCCAGCCAGATTTTGTATGTAGATGACTAGCTTTAGACTTGGTTGTACCAAATAGTTTGTGATATGTTGTGCTTCAAGGCGTGTGAAAGGTTCTAACATGGTTTCACGTGCGTTTATTTTGAATACACACCGCTTGGTTGCCATGACAAATCGCTTTATAACAGTTACACTGGTTCAAGTTACAACTGGGTGGTTTGATGTAATGGTAGCTTGATTTAGACCGCATGGAATGCCGGAGTAAAATGGAAAGACCGTGATTAAAGGCAACATCCCGAATGAATTGGAAAGGAATTGTCCAAGACGAAGTTAATCACACGGCAGTAAAGACAATTTCATTATTAACTGACCAAGACGAGGTTGGTCATATGGCAATACAGCCAATTGCATCATTAAATGAACAAGGTGAGGTTGATCATATGGCACTATAGACAATTGCCTCATTAATTAGCCAAGACGAGGTTTGACAATAAAGACACTTTTATAATTAAATGGTCAATATGTGGTTGTCCAGGTTGGCCATAGAGCGGTGAAGATAATTTCATCATAATTTTGCCAAAACAAGGTTGGTAATATAGCAATAAAGACAATTGTATCATTAATTAGCTTAGTCGAGGTTTGACAATAAAGACAATTTCATCATTTTGTTGTTGTTGCTAATACATGGTTGGTCAGATGGCAATAGAGACAATTTCATCATTAAATAATCAAGACGAGGTTGGTCATATAGCAGTGAAGACAATTTCATCAATAATTTGCCAAGACGACGTAGGTCATATAGAAATTAGGTCAATTTCATCATTAATTTGCCTGGACAAGGTTGCTTATGTGACATTGAAGACTACTGCATCATTAATTAGCCAAGACGAGGTTTGACAATAGGGACAATCTCATCACCATGTGTCTTGCGGTTATTGTTCTTTTTCTGCGCTCGCTCTTAAAGGGGTAGTTGGTATGGTATGTTGACTTTTACTTACAGCTAGGCTGCGATAAAATCTATTTTTGATCTTAACATACGATATGAACATGTCCATACGTGCTTTCAAACTGATCCCATGAGCATGCGTAGGAAGATCGAGAAAGGATGGGTTCGAAGACGATCGCTGAAGTATGTTTCTCCCCTCGTCCTCTACGTTCCCTTCGGTAAAAGCCATCTGTTTTATACCTGCATTTAAAAGTCATCAGTCTTACACCTGAGCAGCGCAGGATTTAAGCTGCAGCTTAGGGCCTCACAATCTACAGGGCCTAAAAAATTTAATGCAATTTTCTTTTCATAGAGCCGTTAAGAAGATTATATAGTATAATTTCCCTAATTTCGCAGACACATTCTTTAGTATTCCTAAATATTAAACGACATATATTTCCATTATTTATTAATTTAAAAGGCCTGTGTGGTTTTGCAAGTTTTCAGGAATTAGTTGGTGGTATTTACAACAGTAGGGGCCTCAGGGCTTTGTACAGCTTAGGGCTTCATCAAGTCTAAATCCGGCCAACCACGTGGAATTAAACTCTGTTCACCTGAATGGCCTCACGTGCGTCTGATAGATGTCGTACACAATGATGGATGAAATGGCCATGACCTCGCCTGACCCCGATGACATGACAGCCATGATGAGCATAGTCAGAACGAGGTAACTTCCGGTCAGTCCCATCTGCGACTGCGCCATGAATACTGTCACCATGCCTGAAAAAACATCAGACGGAAGGAAATACATTCAACAGAAATATAACACAGGTAAAATACTATGCATACACAACAGGATGTGTTTCTCTTATTGCAAATGTGATGTTTCTAATACAAAAAGTAATGAAAATGCCCTGAAAGCAACTGACTCAGGAGAGAGAACTTATTGTGCACTTGAGAAGGAGGCAATATATGTCATGAAAATGAGAAAACTGGGGTACATCGTAGCGGTGAGAACGTTAGAGGAGGCAAGAGGCTAAGGGAGATTAAGGGGGGGGGGGAGAGCTGAAAATTTGGACATCATAGCTTGGAAACATCATTTGTGTGAAAATTTACAGAAAAGTACACAAGGCAGAAGGTTGTAAATGGACATGACTACAAACGACACACATCATAGGATACTATGAAGCAAAAGGTTCCTTATGAAGAGTAGTAGTAGATTTTACCCCACTAGGATATCACACAAGCGATAAACATCGGATGACACAAAGTGCCACCATGTGGATGAGGATCACCCGTGGAGAGGTCCCGGAAACCGCGTTCAGCCATTAGACAATATTTACGGCCGGGCTCATACTGCGGCCCCTGGCAAGAGCCACAGTGGGGCTTCAAATAACGAAAAATTGCATCCCACAATGGGATGACTGGTTAACATTCCTTATGAAGAGTATGAAACAAAGTTTAAAACATAACAAACAATAAGAGGATTTTTGTACACAATTTTACACATCTGTGTTTAAATTTACAAAGGCTGTTAGCACGTTGTTTTGTTGTTCACATATTGGTTGTGAAGTCTACTCCTTTAAAGGGCTCCTACCCTAGCAGGTAGTACGGCGGCCACAGTAGACGTTCAAAGGAAAATAATATTACGAATCTGAAGTCGACCTGGATCTTGTACTGTTCGACTGATCAGTAACTTGAGTAACAGTTAGTTTAAATTAAGAAATTAAGTGTACAAACTTATTTTTATATGTATATGGATATATATATATATATATATATATATATATATATATATATATATATATATATATATATATGTGTGTGTATGTATGTGTGTGTGTGTGTGTGTGTGTGTGTGTGATACCGACCATATTAGATTTCACGAAACCAATAATTCGTTGCCTTTAACGACTTGCTTGTTAAGGTTTACTCGGCATGTTCCTATTTACACTCAACATGGGATCATAGAACCAGAACAGGGACAATTGTAAACATACTTTCTGTTTTCTACGTGGGTTCGTTTCTAAGAAACTTGGAAAGCCCATGCTGGTTGCCCTTGCAGGTTCTACGGCCCACTTTCTCAGTCTCTTCCCTCTCTATCTGTTACTCTGCCTTACTTTATCTCTGTTCTCTGCTCTCTCCCTCTCTTCTCTACATCTTTCTTTCTGTTCCACTACATCTCTCACTCTCTTCCAACTCTCCCCCGACGAAAAGCAGTTTGAAAAAAAAGGGCAGATATTTAAAGTGAGTGTGCACACACTATGCTAAAGTTCAGAGGTAAACGAAATTAGCTGTCATTCAGTACATTATAATTATCATTATTATGAGTACAACCGGAGATTTTATAAACCGGTTTTAAATATAACAGCAAGAGATGAAAGCTACAACCCAACCACCATTATAAAAAAATATTTAAAAAACAAACAAACAAGAGAGGCAGTCCTGTATTTAATCCAAATCTAAGGCTAGCAAGATGAGCATTTTTTCTTTTCAAGAGATACGCAACCCTTACAACGAGGTAGATAACATCAGTTTTGAGCCTAAAAGCAGCGACCAACATGAAACAAACTTTTAACATCCGAAGTAAATGCTTGTGTACAGAAGAGCCCTAAAACCATGCACCTGGTTGGGATGGAATAAATACAGAAGCTATTCAAGCTTGTGGTCAAAAAGGCCTCACATGGCTAACGCGATTTTTCAGTACAGCCTGTAAAAAGAAACTCCACAGGGGAGCATGTACAGCAGGGGTCTACCAATCGTCAGTAGAACTAACCTCTCGTCGACAAATACTTCGGCCCATTCGTTCGTTAGTTCGTTGGAAGAAAACCAAAATGACAAGCTTTGTCCTTTTTTAACCCCCTGACGGCCTGTTTTATCAAGGACTGGTTATTTCCTGTCTGATTTTAGGTTTGTTTCTTTTGTGGCGATGATTTTCGCCTGAGTTTTTGTTTCATTTGTTTCGAAATGTCAGCAGCGTAAGCTTGGCGGGCGGCTTGCAGTTTTTGGGATTGGGCATGGCAGTCCTGAAAAGACAGCCATATGTGCCTAAGTGGCCTGGAACGGGTAGGGTGGGAGTGGTCAATCTGGTTGGCTGTGCTTCCTCGCGCCAGTGGGGCTGGCTTGTTTCACGGGAACTGGGTGTCATGGCGGCTTGGTAGGTTCTAATTGGCTGCTGGCTCTGTCAATATTTGCGGTAACGTCTGTTTGGCGTACCTTGGCTCCTTTGCTTCCTTCTTGCTTCCCTCAACTGTATGTTGGCTGTTTCTATCTCTCTACAGAAGCCGCAGATATTTTTGTAGAAGGCTTTCCTTTCCTCATCGGGAAGCAATTGTACTTTATCCTGCTCCTCTTTATCAAAAGTGATAGCATAGCGGTTCCTCTCGAGCTCGATCTTGTGCCGGTGTTCGTTATAATATTGTAACTTCTTTAGGAGGTCGGCCTCGCTTGTCACCTCACCGGCTGCCGCTTCTTTGCTTTCTTTACAGGTTGTGGCTTCTTCTGCGGCTGGGGTTGCTTCTGTGATCTCGGTTGTGACTACTTCATCTTACTGTACTGTGTTTCCTCATCGATATTTGTCTTTGTATATTTGTCGGCCCTGCTGATGTTTGGTTTTGAGGATGGTGCCTTGCTTCTCTCTGTGAGTAGGAGTTCTCGTTCTTGCTTTGCTTCTCGTGTTGCGGATTCTGCTTTTGCTGTTGTTTTGACTAGCAGGGCGACTTCTCTGTATGTGGATTCTCTGGCTTCGTTTAATAAGGCCGTCTCTGTCTTTCTTTCTTTCGTTCGGCTTGCCGGTAGGCTGCTGCCTGGTCCTGATCTGTCTTCAGCTGTGTCAGAAGGCCTTGGAGTTTTTGGTTTGCTTCATTGATTTCTGCTAGCAGCTTGGTGTGTTGCGCAGCTTCTGCTATCCTGTCTCTTTTCTGGGCTTTGATTTCGTCGAGTGTTTGGGAGATTAGTCCCACCATCTCGAGTCTTTCAGCGGTGGCCTTCTCTCTGTCTGCTGTCAGCTTCTGGACTGCTATTTTGAGTTCTGCCACTTCCTGGGTTATTGCGGTGTTGTTTGCGGCTTGGATCACCTTCTCTGTTCTTTTCTCTCTTCTCGGCATTGCAGCTTGCAGTTTGCGCATTTTAAGGTAGGTGCAGCCCACGTATCTGGCGCTATGGGGCCCTCCACAGTTTGAGCATCGTCTGCTGCTGTTAGGCTTTTAAAGTCGGGGTCCATCTTAGCCAGTGGGCACTCCTTAAAATCGTGCGGCTTGGAGCAATAGCGGCATGCTGGGCTGCTGCGGCAATTTGCGGCTGTGTGCCACGCCTTATTACAGCGTGAGCACTGTACAACTTCTGCACTGTAGGTTCCCGGTCGCTGCTACTGCTGCCAGTGTGGGCGGGTGTAGGTGTGCTCCTGCGCCACGACTGGGGCGACTTCTGAGTGTGATGCTGCCTCGACAGGGTCAACATCCAGGGCTGGCGGCGTCTGGGTGGGCGAGGCTGGTGCCTCGACCAGGCGTCAGTTAGTTCTGGCATCGTCTGCACCGTAGGTGCTACTTCGATGGCTAACGTTGGTCTAGTATCCTGGTTCGGCTTCTTCTGGCTGGTTTTGCCACGGGCCATAATTGATGAAGCTGTGGCTGGCAAAAGCTGTACTGATCAGGCTGCTGTCGAAAGCTCGATCCCTGCAGAGTCGGCAGGGCTTGTTGAGTGCTCTGAAAAGAACACCAAGCGTGCTTTCTCCGCAGTTCACGAGACAATCGTTAGTATCTGGTGCTAAAACGGGCTGCCCAAAAACTCCACTCGCAACACCGAATGAGCGATAACCAGTCAAGACAGACTCATCCGAATGTCAAGCGAATCAGTGTCAAGTATCTAGCTATCGAAAATCGGGCCACAAATGGAGAGTCAGCGTTCGAGCGGAAGACGAGAGGTGCGTGCGACTGGGCTGTCTGCGCTGGAATGGTTTCGGCCCACGAGCTCCTAGACGTTTTCATAGAGTGGGCCCACCTGACTTCATGAAGTTCAGGGTTGATTTTCCCTGCTGCACGAATTACCGGATGTTATTCGGACAGGGACAAGACGAATTAGTGATTTGCAGTAGGTACTGTGAGATAAGAAGTCGTCGCGGTAGCATTTTTTAAAGCAGTCTGCATACCTAAACGACCCAGCAGCAAGCTTACGATTGGTTTACCGGACACATGTTGGACTTTGTTAGCAGGTGGCAGAAGAACACCGGCAGACAATTCGGACGCGATGAAGAAAGGGAAGTTCTAAATGACTGGCTGCAGGCATTAGTAATACTAGTTTGGAAAATGAAAGGTAATACACGAGACTGTGCATCGTTCAGAGGCATATCACGCTTAAGCCACGTAGTAAAACTGTATGCAAAGTTATTAGAACAGACAGCTAGAACAATAACTTTCAGTGAACCGTATGTACTCGTCACGGGTATATCATGTTTGTTTCATCCCGCACAACCGGAAAGCGGCGGTGGCTATACTGGTTTCGTTACTAAATAGGAAAGAAGATTACTGTTATTCTTGGAAAAACTAGCCATCCCCCTGTGGGATGCAATTTTTCGTTATTTTGAAACCCCACCCTGGCTCTTACCTGGGGCCGCAATAAAGCCCGACCAAAAAAATGACCTAATGGCTGAACGCGGTTTCCGGCACCTCTCCACGGGTGATCCTCATCCACGTGATAGCACTTTGTGTCATCAGGTGTTTATCGCTTGTGTGATGTCCTGCTGGGGTAAAATGTACTATTACTACTACTACGACATCCTTGGA